ACGCCCCCTGCGGTCTTGAGGCGGCGGCAGCGAGAGTGTGGGCGCCAGGAGAGGCCGCGGGGCCTGCCGCGGTAGGGGCGATGGCAGTAGGATGAGCAGGGCCACCATTATACGCCGCCCAAAAAGGCGGCGCCCGTCGGACTTTCTACCTACCTACCTGTGAGAGTGTTGTTGTTGTTGTTAGGTACGCTGTTAGCAGAACACGACACAGAAAAGAAGAGAGCGCCCCAGCTTCGGCTGAGGGCTAACAAGCTGCCGAGCCCAAATCACTGTGAGAGTCGTGATTTCTTGTTGGTTAATGAAAATCTCTCTCTCAGAAAAGAAGAACAGAAAAGAAGAAATAAAAATCTCAGGGGCAACCCGGTACACGGAACCATCCCTCGGAGACGTGTTATGGCCCTGCGACCGCGCACCCCCGGGGCTAGGGCTCTCTTGCCCGCAACCCGATCCCAATCGTCCGGCCAACTGGGTGCGCTTCTGAGCTCCCCGGTCCTGGGCGTGCGGCAACTAACTGCACTCCAAGTGCTCCAAATCTCCTCGACACAGAGCTCACACAGAATCACAGCGGGAGGAAAGCGGCGAGTCGCAATTCAAGGGGTCGTTGTGGCGGGCCACCCTGTGCGCTGTGGTCCAGAAAGAAAGGCATGGATCCCAATCTGGGGTCTTTCGACCGAGTCTGATTTCGCCTCGCCGCCTCCCGATGGTGGTAAGCGTAAGGCTGGAGAGCCAAACAAAGCGGCGGAGATGGCGGAGGAGGGCGGGGGATCGAGGAAAGACTCGCACCGACGACCGACCCTTCAGCTTCACGAACCGAAAGGCTGCACCCGGGAAGCACAGTAATTCGGCACACGTTGGGCACCCCATTCATTTGGCGGCTAGGCGCGGCTCAGGGCCCCGTCCACGTTCCCTCCCACTTGGCGCGTGATGGTGTGGGGATGTCGCCCTCAGGCCAGCCAGGGCAGGGGTGGAGGGCGAGGGCGGAGGGCGGGATGGGCGCCAAGCGGGAGGGAGCGAACGGAGTGGAATGCACAGATGGGGGATGGCGAAGGCGGAGGGCGGGAAGGGGGAGGGCGGCGGGAGGGCGGAGGTCGGCATGGGCGGGCGGTGGGTGGTTCGGTAGGGCGGGGGGGAGGGCGAGGGGTGGAGGAGGAGGGCGGTCGGTGGGGGCGAGGGGCGGCGAAGGTCGTACTCGAGTACCGGGCTTTCTCTTCTCATCATCGCTGTCGTGGGATCGCTTGTCATGTGAGAGAGTGCGTTGTGTTTGCGCTGCCGTCTCTCTTCTTCGTTAGTGCCAGTGCGCGCCAGTCCCGTGCCCAGTAAAAAGAAAGAAAACAGGCAAGCCAAGGGAGGGATGGGAGGACGGCACGCCGCCACCACACAGGGATTTTAAGGAGAAGTTGTGAATGCGCTAGCCGTCGCCCACCCTAGGCCCGGAGTTTTCTTTCGGACCCCTCATTTTCGCGGTGGACGGGCTGTACGATTGGGTATCCAAGGCAGGCCGCGCGGGACGCGCATGTCGGTTCGCCGCTGCACGCGCTGCGAGCGCCTCTACTCGGACGGCGAGGACGGC